TCTCTCTCTCTCTCTCTCTCTCTCTCTCTCTCTCTCACACACACACACACACACACACACACACACACGCATACACACACACAGGGCCTCGCCACAGCCAAAACGAAACAAACTACGGGCTGCGCACCCGTGCCCTCACGGTAAGTCAATACGTCGAATACATCAGATCTCGATGGCCTGGTAGTTTTGGAGCGGGGACCATAAAGATGCCTACCTCTTGTCGGCGTGAATATCCTTACAAGGGTATCCGCCCTGTTTTTTGCAAGTGACACAAAATTCAGGTAATTCGGAATTGTTGGGTGACCGCGCGGGTCGCCGCGGCCATCTGAGTGTAGGATGAGGGCCGTTTTGAATAGGAAGAGTGAGTGAGCGCGCAGTGTAAGGCACGCGTGTGATTTTGTTTCCTTTGTTTTGATCAGGGAGTCGGTGTAATTGACCGACTGAGTCTTATTTTTTCTCTGATGATTTTTTTGAAAGGGTCCACCTCTTTGCCTGACGCATCTGAATGGCGGTAGGCTTGGCGCGTGGAATGACAGGCGTAGTGACCACAGTGCAATTGGGCCCCGCCGTCGCGGACGTTTAGTGGTCGTAGGCACAAATGCAGGCTGAGGAACGGCCCAGGGCGTTTCTTGGCCCTGAGCACTGGGCAGCACCACTTCATATAGGACTTCGCGCCTGCTGGGTTTAAGCTTGGGCTTAGCCCTATAGGTTATGGCATGGAACTTATGGTCCGGAGGTTTGGGGATCGAGGCCGGTAGGCAGCGGACCGGAGTAGCGGGGAGGAAGGCGAGGGGTGGAGGTCCGCCAGGGCTATCCCCTCAGCCTTTGCTAGTAGGCGCAATGATGGGCACGACGCGCGGGATTGGCCAGGTGTCAGTAGCCCTTTACCTCCCTAAAATATTTGTCTGTGTAGGTTTTTCTTTTACTTCTTTTATTTCTTTCTTGGTAGATTTTATTTTTCCGCCCCTTTCGGGGCCTGGCGTGCAGACTGAAGTCGGGCCAGGACGCAAGGGCAGTGGGGCCGCTAGTACTATCGAGGGCATAGCCCCGGTCAAAGTCCTTGGGTCACCCGTTAAGCGTGGGGGCGAACCAGAGAAGACTGGCGGTGCCCGCACATGCGGGTAACATGTATAAGTTGAGAAAGGTGGGCCGGTGCTAGCTATTGATACTCGACGCCACTTTCTCCGACTACGTGGTTCGGACAGGTTGATAACAACAAAGAGAATGGCCGCGGAGAATAGGAAAGACTTAGGGGAAAAGTGATGGGTGCAATAGCATAGCGTGAAATGGCGAGCGCTAGCAGTAGGTGGTCCAGAAGCAGTCCGTCGAGTCGGTGGCCGCATATCGGAGGTTTTTTGCGGCTCGACGCAGGCAACGGCCACGGACGGTAGTCGTTGGCAGAGGGGGTGGAGCGCGGGGGTGGGTGAGCGGGGGCGGGCTGGCGTCCGTGGTGGACCGTTGGCTGGGCTGCAGGAAGTGGAGGAGGACGACAACGTGCGCAGGACGACATACCGAGGCGCTTCGGGCAGTGCGTGGGCGCCAACGATTGATTTTTGAATCGAAGGCAGGCACCTTTGTCGTCTTCTCTGCTGGTTGCCGGCATATGAAGGTCGAGCGGCCCTATCCCCCGGCATGTCGGAAGACACTTCTGCAGTAGTCGCGTGCAAGGGTGGCTCCCGAGGTGAATTTGATGGCTTACGTGCAGAGGAGATTGCCTCTGCTGGTACTCGCTGTCGTCATCTTCCTGATTGACGTCTTCCTCCACGTGTGTTTGTCGCGTCAGTCGTGGAAACAACATCGCAAGAGGAGGGCGTCAACGAAATGGGCGATAGGGGAACGTCCGATGGCGGGCATGCAAGCACGCAGTAGTAGTCCTCGATGGCATCATCACACAGCCGGAGGTCCTCCCATGTTCCACCAGTGCGTCCTTTAATCCACCAACGCAGGGTTTGCCGCAGGAAAATGCCAGACGATAGCGCGGAACACAACTGCACGACTGCTTCGCACGTCGCCACGCAATCCGGCGCTTCGACAACACTCTGCAACAATGCTCTTCGTTTACGGAGCTGCAAACGCATGTCGCGGGAGGAGGACGACATGTCGCTCATCGCGTTCAGGAGAACGGCAGTCACCTCCATTGCCACAGCCTCGCTCTCTTCTTCACACAGACCGTGTTCGCAGCCGCGAACGTCCATCTCCGATAATCGTTCCGCCTGTGCACCGTAACGTGTGTCCACAACCGCCGAAGATGCACCACCACCTCAACACTGCCGCAAGAGATCACTCACGCCGGAGTCGAAGATGCGCCTGCTGCTCCACACTTGCACAGAATACGACGCACGCCAGAGCCGAAGATGCGCCCGCTGACGAAGAGCGCTGCCACTGGAGAATACGCACGCCGGAGCTGAAGACGCGCCCGCTGCTCCACACTGCGACAGGAGAGCGCACGCCGTACCTGAAGATGCGCCCGCTACTCTACGACGGTGGAAGACAGTACGCACGCCGGAGGTCAAGATGCGCCCGCTGCTCTACGATGGTGGAAGACAGTACACATGCCCGAGGTGAAGATGCGCCGCCGCGGAACATGCCCCCGCTGGTCACCAGTCGTGCAGACTCCAAAGATGGATACCCACGCCGAAGGGTTCACCAGCGTCGTCTTTTCTACGTCGCACGCGTCGCCTGTCCGTCCTCCGCCCCGCCACCCTGCGTCCGCCAAATTTCGAATTTGAATTTTCGAAGTCCCTCGGCTACGCGCGCTTTTCACCGAAGAGCCCTCTCCGAGGACGGCCCACCGTAGTGTGTACCACGGACACCAGCCAGGAATGGACGGACATCGACGACGCGGCTGTGTATACGCATATGAAAAGCAGCCCCGCGAAACCTCTTAGTACGAATCCTAAAAGACGATTTTTAGGATTGCGTGCAACGACACCGCACAAAATCCTAAAAAACCTTTCGGACTCGTCCTAAAAAAAAAAGGATTCTTTTAGGAGTGTTTAACGAGACCCTATGACTTATATAGAGGAAATAATGTGAGTATTCTAGCAAAAGGGAGATATCCAGAAAGCAATCAATGACTTCTGTACTGACTGGATTGGGGGGGGGAGACGGGGGATGAATGGCCCGTGTGGAATTCCCAGGGGGAAAGGAGGGGGTAACCCCACTTAGAAAAGACTACAAACTCATCTTTCATGATTGGCTCCATACTGAGACCACCCTGATATGTTTCCCCCACCAGAGTTAGCTTAGGTAGATCTGCAAGGGTTTGGGCGTAATGGGTGACCAAGACAGCTCCACGAGAGCAAATCTTAAAACACTTCTAAGTTGCAGCTCAGCTAGGAATAGTGCTCTGCGGTAAGAACTCCAATGACCATGTGCCCAACAATCATTATATTATGAAGTTGTATCCAAGTGACGCTGGACCCGGTTTCCAGCAGGTGTTGCTCCCCACCAATAGATGGAGCCTCCGTGGTGGTGCTAGAAGTGTCTGCTTTTATCAGCACTCCTAGCATCCACTCGGGGTGTGTTAAAAAAAAAAAAAGAAAAAAAAAAAGGAATGGGCAAGGTAGATCAGGCCGTCCTTTTAGGACTGAAGAGGCAGGTTGCAGCATACGCAAGCATGAGAAACTCTGTATTGGGGACGTTGGACCCGTTTCCCAGCAGGTGTTGTTCCCCACCAATAGATTCGAGCCTTCTAGGTGTGGGGGCTCGTATCACCACCCCTAGCAAATCTAGCGTTGTTAAGAAAAAAAGAAAGGACAAACTAGGGCACTGTCAAGGTTTCAATTTGAAAA